CCCCGCGGCCCAGGGCACCCCCCCCCCCCCCCAGCATCTTCCCCAACTTTGGGAAGACAACACTTCCCAGTATTAGCCAGAAGTGGTACATAAGTTTGTATTTTTGCACAGTGGAAAGTGCTTTGCTGATCTCCTTCCATCTGGCTCAATCAGGCTCTTTTTGTTCTCTGTGGTGATACATATCCCTGTGAGTCTTCTTAGTTCAATAAGAATTATAGATTAAAAAATAAACGAATGTATAAAGCAAATTCTAATGATGAATACATTCCTATCTTTCTGCAATAATCCCGATTCACATTTGTGAAATGAAAACAAACTATTCAACAACTTTAACATTTTTCCAATCAATAAACTTCAGGAGAGGAAAGGAATGCTGAATTGAAACAAGGCTGTGCAAGCAATGAATTTTCTCCTTTCTCTTCAAGCACGCTTTCTTTTTGCTCTTCTGCAAAACCAGTTATCACAAGACAACTGATACAAATAAAGAAGCCAGCCCTTAGATAAGTACAGGGGAAATGTACAGGAGAAATTTAAATAGGAAATGTGCTGAATGAGATGTTTGATTTGGAATTTCCGTTATCTTAATGCATTCTATACTGAAAGCATCTCTGAACAGAATGTCAAAACCTGGGGCTAATGAAAACAGAAGTGGAAGAAGAAAACAGAATCTATTTAGGACATGTGCAGTCTTAGGACATACTCCGAAAACCAGGTGCTATTTTGTGATTCGCTTCTAGTGCAAGAAACGACCCAGAAAGGAAAGTTATTGAGGCTACTAAGTTCAGAGGAGAGTACCCCGGGGTTCTGGCCCCTCCTCATCTGGGATGTCTCAGACTGCAGTGTTGTTTCCAAAATAAAGCAGGAGCTGTGGGAGATGGTGGGTTCCCCATGGAATGGGGAATGGTTGGGGAGCCCAACAGGCTGCTGCTGTGGTGGGCACGGGGGGAGCTGACAGCAGTTGTACCGTGGATGGAGCGTACGGTAAGCTGCCTTTGCTCTTTCCCCAGCCTCTTTGTTTCTTTTCTGCAGTGTAGCACTGGACTGAGCACATCTGCTCTAGAAAAAAGGATTATTTCAACAGCATTTGACCTACATCCCCATAAAGGGAGATGGGACCGGACAAATGTCTCTAAAGTCATGAACTGAGCACCAGGGAGCTGTATTTCAAGAGGCAATCTGCTCCCTATCTCATATCTTTGATTTTGATTATGAAACCCAACCACAGAGCAAATAAAGAGAGGAACTTGGCATTAATTACTAACTTGTAACTTAATAAAGCGTCCTCTGCAAAGAGCCCTGTGTGGCTGCAGCACTCTGCAGCGCACGACGGAATTGCAGCAGCCGCTTCCTTCCCCGGCTCGCCGCTTGCTCCCTGGGGCTGCTTCTCTGACCACAGTCTGCTGTAAATCAGCTGCAAATTATTTCTTCCTCTCTGCAGTCTGGATGGTGACTGATGTGCCCGTTCCCATTCCTACGCACACGCATTTCCCACTTGGCAATGTTGACCCAAGAATCAGAACGCGACAGCATCTCCTGTTACCCCCGCTGGGGGGACCGCTCCCAGGGGCTCTGCTGGTGTAACCTACACTCACCAGCTACGTGCCACTCAATTTTCTGTACATTTAGTTTGTTTTTAAGCAAGACGTACCCTCTAGATACCTGTGTGCTGCAGTGAATGACATAAACATATATCTGCGCACAAGAATATTGAACAGAGCGATGTGGATATATACTGCTGCGGTGCCTAACATCTTCTGGGTGCTATATAAAGCCTTCCACTATACTAAGATGGTTGGTGATGATTTACCTGCTATAAAAGTAAATAATGTCATGTTTCTATGTCCTATGCATGGGGATATATCTTCCTATACTTGGTATTAAAATAAAGGAAATACATCCCCATATCCAGCCCCTATTACTACACAAATGAGGCAAATATACAGTGGCAGACTGCACGGTTCTGAAACACCTGAGGATTTGAGGCTGGAATTGTTAGGGTTTAAGTAAGAAAGTACCGACTACCCGATCTGGCCTGCAGGATGTGTGTATGCATTTTGTGGAAAGCAAAGTCTTACCCACACCACCTTCAAATCCCTGTACCCTGCCCAAGCAGAGGCTGGCAGCAGTTACTTCAGACCAGAAAGAGTGGGAAAACTCCTCCGAGTCACACTCAAGACCCCCATGCTGCACACTCCCACGTTTGGGTCAGACCCTGCCAGCGGTGATGGAGCTACAAGAGAGGTGGATAAACGGGGTGAGGGGGACTTCATGCTTTCAGTGTGTGAGGGAAGCGTTAGCTTTCCTTTTCTGCTCTGAAGGGCTTGCTCTCAAGCCTGCTGACAACATTAAATGAATGCACGAAGTGCCGAAACTTGGGAATTTGCTCCCGTCTGTGCAGAGCATCACATAATGAATACCCAGTCCAGACGGCGTTTGATATATGTATTGAACTACACACCTGGCCTACTAACTCAGGTAGATAACCCGCTGAAAGAAAAACACTTCTCATCACATCAGGCACACGGTATGTTAAATAAAATACCGAACCTAGTACATCATGTCAATATTAAATCAAGTTTGTTGCATGTTGAACAGCTCTTCTGAGAAGCAGATTGAATTATCATGCAGAGCTAGTGATGACAAGATTACTGTGCATTAGCTTTCATTAACTAATGTGCCACGTTCATATATCACCTGAGTTAGGATTCATGTACGGCATGACGAAGGAGGTCTAGCCACAAAAGGCGAGACCCCAAAAATCTGCAACTTCACAATGCATTCTCTTCTATTTCCCAGAGACCACAATCTCGTAGACGTTATTTTGTCAAATGAGGTATTTTTGTTTCAATCTAAAAACGGACAAGACACGTGAGAGAGATGCTAGAAAGCCCCCCTATGGAAAATATTCCCATTAGACTAATTAAGCTTTTCACAGGATAGGCAAAATAAAAGCTTACAGAATCTGGGGGGATGGAAGCAAAGGGAGATATTTTTTCACCTGTATATTCAGTTTTGTTGATGTATCAATTTTAAAATTAATTGCATCTGCTTGCAAAAGACTGCAAAAATATTTTGTTAGGTTCACTGTATCTCATTCTATCTGTACAAGTTAAGTAAAAAAAGAGGCAAAACAGGAAAGATAGCTGCCCTCTGTATGTGTAAGCAGATAAGCACACAGTCGTAAACAAATGGCTCCCCCAAATCACTCTGGAATCTGAGAATACAGCTCAGTTCTTTCTAGCTCAGAAGGTCCCAAAGCATGCCAAGGACT